TTTTTATTCGTCGGGTAGTTTTTTACTAAAACTGGCTAAGTGGACAAATGATTATCCTCTTTTATTTTCACATGTCTGATATTACTGCTCATGCTTGTGGGCGTTTCGTAGTTCCGCATCTCTGAGTTGCCTGTGCTTATCCCTGCAGTAACTAAATGGGACTCTGGACTTGAGCCAGCGTGGTCCAGATTGGCCATGTGCTCATTGGATTGCCTTCACTTCTTGGGCTTTACTTTCTATATATAAAGGTCCTATCCAGCATTGAGACTCTATGCCTAGACTTATTTTAGTCACACTCGTGCTGATAGTTATTTGTGTACTTTCCTCTCTACCAAGTCCCCCCTCTGCTCTAATGGTAGTATACACATCATTTAGTAGAGTTCAGTCCCATGTAGATGGTGAGAATATGTCCTGCTTCTATCAGTTACCGTTCTTGAGGGCTTACTCTGAGCTAGGCATTATACGAAGGGCTTCTATACATATCTCATTTAATTCCCATGCCTTATGTGGTAGGTACTATTATTATCACCATTTTACAAAAGGAAAATTGGAGGCACAGAGGCCTTAAGTAACTTGTCCAAGATTGTGTAGCTATTAACTTGAATTTGTTCCTAGGTTTGTTACCTGACATCTGAAACCTAAGCTCTTTCATTAGTTTTATTTATCTTCTATCCCTTGCATTTAATAGGTGCTTGATATATACATGTTTCCCCAATATTTTATTATAAAACTCTGTATGCATTTAGAAAAGTTAAAGAATTTTATAGTGAACAACCCCCATATCCTAGATTTAACAATTAGCACTATCCTTGCTTTATCACATATTTATCCCTTGATCTATACATCAAGCTATCTTACATATTTTATGCAGCTCAAAGTAAATTGTAGACATCAGTATACTTTGCGCCAAATACTTTAGTATACATATCATTGACGAGGGTTCAATACTTATTAACAATTCTTTTTTCTTTTGAGTGAATATTTCACACAATGAAATACACAAATCTATGTGCACAATTTGATGACTATTGATGAATATATACACCTGTCGATCCAAACCCCTATCAAGATATGTAACTTGAGCATCACCCTGGGAAGTCTCCTCATGCCCTCTCTCAGGCAATCCCCACCGCCATCCATACCCCCACCTCCCAAAGGTATCACTGTTCTGATTTTTTTTCCAGCTTAGGTTGGTTTTGCTTATGCTAGAACATCATATAAATAGTACTATACCAGCCCTGGCCAGTGTGGCTCAGTTGGTTGGACATCGTCCCCTGCACCGAAAAGTTGCCAGTTCGCTGATTTGATTTCCAGTCAGGACACATCGATGCTCGATTCACATCGATGTTTCTCCCTCTCCCTTCCTCTCTCTAAAAACCAATAAAAATATATATATTTTAAAAACAGTACCATACCAGTATGTACTCTTTTGTTAAAGCCTTCTTTTACTGTGACTTGACATAATGTTTTTGAGATTCATCCCTGTTGTGTGTATCAGTAATTGCTTTTTAAAAATATATATATATATTTATTTATTATTATTTTTTAAAATCCTCACCTGAGGATATTTTTCCATTGATTTTTAGAGAGTGAAAGAGAGAAGGAAACACAGAGAAATATAGATGTGAGAGAAACACATTGATTGGTTGCCTCCTGCACGAGCCCCAGTCAGGGCCCAGGCCGGGGAGGAGCCTGCAACAGAGGTATATACCCTTGACTGGAATCAAACCTGGGACCCTTCGGTCCGCAGGCCAATGTTCTATCTACTGAACCAAACCGGTTAGGGCTAGTTTCTCCTTTCTTGTTGCTGAGTAGTATTCCATTCTATGAATGTGTAAATTGTTTCGCCTGTTGGTGAATTGATAGATGCATATTTGAGTTGAATGGTCCTTGCCCTCAAAATGCTTTCTGTTTTAAAGTGATAAAGCAATTGAATTGACTGAGTCGATGGTACTTTGCTTTGATTTTGAAGATAGTAGGATCACGATGATTTAGGTACATTCCCTAATTTACATACATACTCTAGTTTACATGCATACTTTTTCTTCCCTTAAAATTAGGAAGGCTTCCTGGAGTAGGGTGAGGGGAGAAAGGCAGAGAAGGAGGTCAGAAAAACTATAAGGTTGGAGAGAGTAAGAGACGAAGGGGGGCTGGTAGAAACTACAGCCTGGAATGGAGAATGGGGAGGTGGTGATATCATTGCTACTGGAGGCTTTGGACATGAGGACAGCAGATGCTGGAAGGTCCGGGGTCTACAAAAGACGACAGAGCCCAGGTCTCTAGTTAATTGGGTGCTGAGGAGCATTGAGCTGCACCACAGGTCTGACCCTGAAGGGGACGGTTATAGGTAGCTTCAGGTATTTGGCCCTGGAGAGAACCCCGACCTCAGCCAGGCCTGGCAGTTGTAGGGATGACAGTGGGGAATGGGTACCTTGTGAGCTGTCAGATAACAGTGGCAACACAGGGGGGATGAATGAAGGGCTGGAATGGACTCAGTCTCCAAAGGCCCCCGGGTTGGGATGAGAAGGGGTAACGTTAGCAGAAAGTTAATAACTAACCTGTGTCCACAAGAGACTTAGATATTTGGAATTTTAGAGCTAGAAGGGACCTAGATCACCTAGTTCAACCTTGAGCAAAGTGACAGGCTCAAGGTCCCCTGGTGACTTGTTGACAGATCCAGGCCTAGATACCAAATCCCCTAACATTTCCGGCCAGCACTGTCCCCTGTGCTGCGGCTGTGACTGTCTGTCTTCCTGCCTGTCACAATGACAGTGAGGGGCAAGCTTTTGCCAAGACAGGGGTTTACATGAAATTACTTTCCAGGGACCTTTCTAGCCCAAAGATTCTAGAATTTGGGGCCTCTTTTCTGTTGATACTGCTCAAATATTTAGCTCCCAGCAAAGAGCCAGGGTTGTGTAAGGATTGAAGAGTGAGAATTAGAGACCGAAAGGTGTTTTGGTGGGACAGCAGTGACGGCATTTGGGTTCTCTGTGGTTGAGTTGAGGCTGGGATACTCATTTGTCCCCTCCAGGTCCCTGAGGTGGGTTTCTTTATTCATTTCCCCACAGGTGCCCCTGGAGCCCTCTTCCAAACCAGCCCTTTAAGACAGTGCAAGTAGTGGTGGGTAAGGTGGGTAGCAACCAGCTGAAGATCTTATTTATGTCCTGGCATGTGGTGGTCTATGCCACACCCCCATCAGTGGTTCAGGAGGAGACAGAGAGACTCCCCATGTCAAAGTACAGCCCTAAAGCAGTGATGGCGAACCTTTGAGCTCGGCGTGTCAGCATTTTGAAAAACCCTAACTTAACTCTGGTGCCGTGTCACATATAGAAATTTTTTGATATTTGCAACCATAGTAAAACAAAGACTTATATTTTTGATATTTATTTTATATATTTAAATGCCATTTAACAAAGAAAAATCAACCCAAAAAATGAGTTCGCGTGTCACCTCTGACACGTGTGTCATAGGTTCGCCATCACTGCCCTGAAGAGATGTCTGCTGCCAGGCATTCCCTCAACCCAAGTCAGCCCAGACCCATCTGGCCAAGGTTGCCCCTGGCTTTGTGCCTCTTGGGCCCTAGATTCCTTGTCGTCCTACCCCCAGGTAACGTGCATGAGCCTTTGGAACCAAAAAGTTCAGAGGGAACTTTGTTTTATCAGATAGAAACGGAGGTGAGAGGAGAAAAGGGGTACCTGAGAGGTTCGCAGGGAGCTAGTGACTAGACCAGGTTCCCCACCTCTTTGGATGTGTTCTACACCTGAAGATTTCTCTAGAACTGTGCTGTCCAATCCTCTAGCCAAGCCACGTGGGGCTGCTGAATACTTGAAATGTGGTTGGTCTGGATTGCAATGTGCTCTAAGCGTAAAATAGGCATTGGGTTTCAAGGACTTAGTATGGAAAAGAGGATATAAGATACCTCAATGTTTTCTATATAGATTACATATTAAGATGACAATGAATATCGGGTAGGTTGATTTCACCTGTTTCTTTTTACCTTTTAAAATGCGGTGGCTAGAAAATTTTACATTACATATATGACTTGAATTATATTTCTTTTGGATAGTGCTGCTCTTGAGAGGACACATTGATCTCTCAGGAACCACTGGGAGAGAGTGCTGGGCAATCAGCCAGTGTACCTGGGCCCTTGGGAGTTCCTGGCCTTGATGCCTTTCTAGGCTTTGTATCTGGGTTGGAGATCCCTCTCAGTAGAATGGGGAGCCTGCTTGGTTGTGGGGGTGGGGTACACAGAAAGGAAAGGCCTCTCCAGGGCCTTGCAGTAGGTCATTGTGTCTAGAGTTCAGGGGGAAGGCCCTCATGGAGAGAGAACAGAAATGACATTTCGTTTCTAATTAGGTGGTATGGCCTACTTCTACCTCTTGTTCCCTGCTGGTTAGAACGAGAAAGGCCCTCTCAACTCCACCCCCATCGGTTTTTCTCACTCCTGTCCCAGTCAGGTGTGCATTGGAGGGGGAGTAGGTTGGCGCCATAGGCACACGTGCCCTGGAGCTGAGGTCTTCTCTCACCCGCCACAACTTTCCTCCTGAGGCTATATTTAGGTGTTGGTCTGGGGAAAAGGATGTGAGTTTTTCAGGATCCTGTTTATCCAGTAGACCCCCTCCTGGCCCTCCCCCATCCCCACCACACAGCTGTCTGTCCTCTGTCCAGACTGGAACTTCCCCTCACTTCCCTCCCGGCTCCAATTTGGGTGCCCAGGACCTAGAAAGAAAACAATGTTTGCCATTGAATCCTGACAGTGCCACCTATTAGCTATTGGACAACTAACATCTACTTAATTTTTTCATGTGTAGAGATAATGATCCTTTTCTTGCCGGGATGCTGTGAAGTTCAAACGAGGTAGTGTGTGTAAAGGGCCTGGCATTATGCCTGACAAGTGGTAGTCATTAAGCAAGTGTTGGTCCTTTGAGGTCCTCCTCTGTCGGGCAGTGGCTAAGGCTGCTGTTCTAGGGATACCAGGCTTAGGAAAGAGCCCGGTGGCATGTGATGTCTGTTGCCTTAAGGGACATTGGCTGTGGGAGGTGATGGTGCACAGAGTCTCTTTTCTTTTTCCCTTGTGTTTGCATCTTCAGTCAAGTCCCAACTTGGCTTAATGGCATCCTCTGGCCAGGAGGTCAGATCGCCCAGATGCCACCTCCATGCACACCTAAGCCTGGGTCTATCAGAGATCATAGGAAATGAGAGACTTTGGAGTTTGGGTTTTTACAACCTTATCTAAACCTCAAGTTTCCTTATTTGTAAAATGGGGGTAACAATAGACCTCCTCATAGCAGTGTTATGAGGCTTCGCTTAACTGAGACAGTATTGTGTGAGGCAGAGAACCTGGCAGAGATCGCCGTGAAGGGTAGCTGTGCTCAGCAATGGGCCCCGTCTGGACTGGAGACGGGGAAGAGGCTCTACTGGAATAACCTTTCTCTTTCTCTCTGTTTCTGTCTGCAGCAGCAAGGTGGAACACAAAGGCCCTGTGCTGAGCACCCATAATCCTCTGGGGGTACCCCCCCAAAAACAGCACCCCCACCATGTTTAATCTAATGAAGAAAGACAAGGACAAAGATGGAGGGCGGAAGGAGAAGAAGGAGAAAAAGGAGAAGAAGGAGCGGATGTCAGCAGCAGAGCTGAGGAGCCTGGAGGAGATGAGCCTGAGACGCGGCTTCTTCAACCTGAACCGCTCCTCCAAGCGTGAATCGAAGATGCGCCTGGAGATCTCCAACCCCATCCCCATCAAGGTGGCCAGCGGCTCCGACCTGCACCTGACTGACATTGACTCCGACAGCAACAGGGGCAGCGTCATCCTGGACTCGGGCCACCTCAGCACAGCCAGCTCCAGCGATGACCTCAAGGGTGAGGAAGGCAGTTTCCGGGGCTCTGTGCTGCAGCGGGCGGCCAAGTTCGGCTCCCTGGCCAAGCAGAACTCCCAGATGATTGTCAAGCGCTTCTCCTTCTCCCAGCGGAGCCGGGACGAGAGTGCCTCTGAGACCTCCACCCCCTCGGAGCACTCTGCTGCCCCATCTCCGCAGGTGGAGGTGAGGACTCTAGAGGGACAACTGGTGCAGCATCCTGGCCCAGGCCACCCTCGACCAGGGCCCCGGTCCCAAGTCCCCGAGCTGGTGACTAAACGGTTTCCGGCTGACCTGCGCTTGCCCCCCGTGGTGCCCCCGCCACCCCCTGCCCTCCGGGAGCTGGAGCTGCAGCGAAGGCCCACTGGAGACTTTGGCTTCTCCCTGCGGCGTACAACCATGCTGGATCGGAGCCCCGAGGGCCAGGTCTATCGGAGGGTGGTTCACTTTGCTGAGCCTGGTGCGGGCACCAAGGACCTGGCCCTGGGGCTGGTGCCGGGTGATCGTCTGGTGGAGATTAATGGGCACAACGTGGAGAGCAAGTCCAGGGATGAGATTGTGGAGATGATCCGGCAGTCAGGGGACAGCGTGCGGCTCAAGGTGCAACCCATCCCAGAGCTCAGTGAGCTCAGCCGGAGCTGGCTGCGGAGCGGCGAGGGACCACGCAGGGAGCCGGCCGATGTGAGTGTTTCCCTTGGGACCTGGGCAGCGAGGGATGAGCAGGGACTGGGTTGTTGATGTCTGCTGTGATTGTACTTAGGTGGATGATTAGGGTACTCAAGAGCTGTAGTGAGAGCCTAGCGAGTGTGTGAGCGGTAAAGCCGGGCCACTCTGTGGGCTTAGGGACCATCTACCTGGCCGGTGGGGAGAAGGCACCTCAGGTGGGGGCTATACACGGTCATACAAGCTTCATGATACAAGGGGCGGGTTAGGGTTTGGGCACCATATTTCCTGAGCCCGAAATTGAGGCATGGAGGCTAACACGTGCCAGTTCCAGATATGACAGACAGTCTCATATTCTGGACTAAAGTATAGGATTTCCATGTTATTTAGATATTGGAGGTGGAAAAAAAAGTTTTGTCAAATCAGGGCTGTCATGGGACATCTAGGATGTACAGCTGCTTTGGTAGCTCCTGGGAAGATGACCTCAGGCCTCCTCTTGCCCCTGTGTGAGTGAGGAGTTGAATACCAGGTAAGGTTGCCGAGATAAGCAGGGGCCAAATCATGAAAGACCTTATAAATCGTGGTAGGAGTTTCGAGTTAACCCCATTGCAATGAGACCGTTGTAGGGTTTGAAGCGCAGGGGAGTGACGCTCTGATTTATACAGATCACTTGTGCTCCCAGAGTTTTATTATCTTTCCTGGAGGAAGGCAATGCATGGGCCTGGAAAAGTAACAGGGATGAAGCCTACAGAGATAGTATGACCGGATTATCCCTGAGACCCCGGCCCACACAAAGCAAAGGTGGGAGAGGGTGACACAGGCCCAGAAGAGATTGAGGTTAAAGGTATCCATCAGTTTAGCAAATACCTGTTTACTTCCCAAGGACCTACCCGATTTAACTCCTGAAAAGATGGTCTCTAGGGAGATGGAGATCTGTAACCCCAGCGGTCTCTTGATAGGTTGGCTCCTTACCAGCTTGGAATGCTCTGCCTGGAGGCAACCCCTGAAGGACAAGTTGGCCTCTGGTCACCCCTCTCTCCAGCTGTGGCTCTTAGGACTGTCCAGGTCCCTGCAGCCTGACCAGTACATGGCCCGGCCAGGACCTTTCAGTACTAAGTGACCAGCCAGATGTGTCCAAGTCAGAAGTGGGAGGAAATGCTAAGGAAACAGGCAGCGTCCCGGGCCTAGCTTTCTCCCGGGGAGGGGAAGTGGCTGCTCAGATGGCTGCTTAGCCTAGCAGCATGTCGGGCCTGGAGGGCCTGGGAGCCGCAGGGTCAGACTCTGGCAGGAAGCACTGGAGTTGGGTTCCAGACCTTCCTTTCCCCGGGGCTGGTGGGGTCAGGCAGCTTTGCTAGTCAGGAAGGGGTAGTGAGTGGGAGGGAGCCTGTCGTAGAATCCAGGAAGGACCTGGACGCATTAATTCCAGAAATACATTGAGCACCTACTCTGTGTTAGCCACCAGGCTACACTGAACTTGGGGAACTTCCCCCAGCTTAGAGGGAGCTGTCTTTATCTCAGCACCAAAGACCACACCATGTTGCCACGTCTGCCTACTTTCTCCCAGGCTAACATTGCCTTCAACAGATAGAATATTCTTCCTCTTAAAGAATGAGTCCCCCGGGGATTGTTGCCAGGTCCCCGCCGAACCACAGCACAGGCCTCTGTGGGGCTCAGGGCTTGGCATCACAGATGCTGTTCAGTTCTTCTCTTTATAGCACAGGGATCATCCTGGCATCTCATGTTTCCCAGCCGCTCTCCTTCCCAACTAGCTGCTGTTACCGCATCCCTGGGGAAGTGGGCGGTTTAGCTTTGGAAACCCCGGTGGATCCCACCTTCCAGCTGGTATCTCAGAAGTGCTGGCTTGCTCTGGCCTGTGGGGCAAGCCCAGCTGGTGCCCAGAGGACTTCTTCCCCCACCTCGGGGCTCTAGCAGGAGACACAGTAGAAAGTCCCTTCCTCATGAGTCTCCTAGAACTGACCGGACAACAAGAAGCATAGGGCTGAAAGAAGCCCCACGTCTCCTCTTACCTGGGTAGGCGGTGGGGCCTCAGGCCACAACGGAGAGGAGCAGAATGAGCCCGGCATTCTGGTTTCCTGAGACAGACCCCGGAGCTGGGGAGGTTGTGCTGTAGCCTCGACGGAGGCTCTTATCCTCTATCTCCTCTTCCTCCCACTCCTACTCCTGCTCCTTTTCTTGGCAGCAGTTCTAATCCTAGTTCCATGCCAAGAAAAGAGCCTTCCCACCTCCTCCATGCTCCCGGGCGGGGTACCCTGACAACTCTAGCCCCACAGGGACAGCTCTGGTGGCCACCCTGCCCGTCAGGCCATCCATCAACTGTGTCCACACGTTGCCTGTCCCCAGGGAGCTCTGAAGGAGCTGGCTAGCCATCTGCTCTCTTTCTGCACACAGATAGGGGCCAGGCCCCATGGCTCCTGTCCATGGCCTGTTCAGCAGGCCCCAGGGAGAGACAGCCCCTTGGGTTTCCTTCTCACATGGTGTGTGTCCAGAATGCTTGGCTCACACCTTGTTCATATGTCTCTGTAGCTGCCAGACAAGGCTCCACTGGGAGGAGGGGTGAGCCACAGTCGTAGGATAGACTTGGGACCTGATAGAAATCACTCAGCAAGTCTGAGAGAAGCAGCCCTTCTTCCGCCATCTATTCCTCCACCCATCTGTCTACTAAACACACGTTTGTGGAGCACTTACTGTGTGGTAGGTCCTGGGACCCAGCAGTGTGCAGCACATAATCCCAGCCTCAAAGGTGAAATCAAAGAAGGATGTACACCCAGCCCCAAGGAACTCAAAGTCTAGTGGGAGAGATGGTCAAGTAGCAGGCAATGGCATTGCCATTTGAGAAGGTCAGCGATAGAGTGTACTGGGGAGCACAGAAGGGAACTTCAAGTATAGTCTTCGGAATGAATCAGAGAGAGAGCTGACATATAGGGGAGGCAAACGGAAGGAAAAGACTGTATTAGACACAAATCAGAGAGAGATTGACACACTTGGGGAAATAAGGCTTGGGGACAGCATATGGGGACACTACTGAGAGAAGCAGCAAGAGAAGCAAGCAGGGCCCAGGTCACAAGGCCCCTGAGAGTCATGCTAGGGAATGTAAACTTTAACCTAAGGACAATGTAGCCATTTAATCGGGGCGTGATAGGCACAGATTTTAGAAAATCTCTGGCTGTTTATGGGGAATCCTTTCGGGTGTAGCAAGGGGAGAATGAATGGAGGCATTGGAGATGGAAAGAGGTTTCAGATGTAAGCAACTGAAGTAGGCTCTAGAGTCTTGGTGACCGACTGGGGTGAGGGAAGGAGGAGAGGAGGGGGTAAGTGTGACTACCAGGTTTGGGGGAGGATGCTAAATTCTTTCCATGATTCTTCAGGGAAAGTGTTTTGGGGGCATCTGTTTTGAGAAAATTATTCTTAACTTTTCTAAAGGCAAAAAGAGTTCCCTGAGTCTGATGAGATTAAGGAAGGTGTTGGTAAAGGGGAGGAGGATCTTAAAACCCCAGTTGGATCAAAATTCTTCTCTCCAGTTCCATGAGTCTGGGTAGGAAAGTCAGTGCCCATTGAGAAGGAGTCGGGGCCGGGTGGGGACTGAGGTCTGGGAATAGGGAGAGCTGGTCCCTTCCATTTGTATCCTCAGTAGGCCCATCATGGGAGCCAAGTGGATTGTCTGTGAACATACGATGGTTTTGCTGAGCTCAGAAAGGCCCACCTGGCTAAACTCTGGCCAATGTGGTTGTTCTCCTGCTGCCAAGAGCTAGAGGATCTGGCCTGCATGGGAGCCCTACCCAGAAAGCACTGCTTCCTGAGTTTATGAGGTTGTGGTAGGAGGGGAGGGGGGTGCTTAAAGGAAGGCCTACCACCCCTTCCCAGTCAAATCTAGTTTCCTGCGCCCTGTGGAGCTATCAGGCATTTGCTGGAGATCTGTGGTAGAGTTCCTTCTCCCATTGGACCTTGGAGTTTGTCCACAACAGTTACAGGGCTGTGAGGTTCCTTAAGAGGTCATCCTATCCATCTAAACCACCTGCACATTCAGGAGAACCTAGGAGAGTGCATGTCATAGTGGAAAGAACATGGACTTTGGAACCAGAAAAACCTGCTTGAGTTTTACCAAAGTTAACCAAACTTTTCTGAGCCTCAGTGTACTCGTTCCCTTGAACAGGGCCAGGCACTGTACTGGGCACTGGGGGGTTAAGTAAATAAAGTAGAATCTTTCCTTGAGGAAGCATAAGCATAAGTAAAGAAAGGCAACTCAGCGCCATCATTGCTATCGTAGATGTCTGTACAGGTAAACGGTGGGGTGGGAAGGAGGAAGTGGCCATTAGAAGGGGCCTCTGAGAGGATGTGACCCTTGTTCTCTATAAATGGGCCTTATTCCGTCCTCTCAGAATTTAAGAAGATGAAATCAAAGAAGGACGTATACCCAACTAACCCACTCCAGCGTCCTCTGAGAAGAAGAAAGGGAGCCTTGTTTTTCACTTTGTGTACTCCCCTTTATGGGTCTTTATTTAAGAATCTGTATGTATGCGGTGAGATCCCTTTGGCAGACTTTGGCAGGTCGTAAATGCTTAGGAAGATTAGTATCTTTCTCTCTGCCCAGTCTCTGAAGACATCCAGGGAAAGTAATTTTGCAGCCTCCTTAATTAATCCAGCCTAGTGTTCTCCCATCATGGCTCCTGGTGAGGTTTTCTTTCCAATAGGGACTCCTGATGCTTTTGTCCAAACTCTTTCACTGTAGGTTTTGTTTTTTTGTTTTTTAAAGCCAGCTTAAAGGTGCGGTGGGCCCCTGGGTGTCCGCTAGCTTTTCCTAGCTTCTTAGAGCCCAGCTTCTCAGGCCTGAGGCCTGTAGGCATGGACATCAGTGGCCCAGCAGGAGACAGGGCTGCCTGGCTGGGGGAGAAGGGCAGGTCCCTTTGCCATAGTGGAAGCCCCAGGCCCCTGGGTGGAAAGTATTTGAGCCTCAGCAGCCTTGTCCACTGGTGCTGTCAGGAGTGGGGACTGCAGATTCC